TTTTTTATTAACATACTGAAGAATAGTTTTAATTTGACTTTCAGGTAATTTAACTTTGAGAAATGTTTTGAGAACTTTTATCAAAATAAATGGACGTGGTGAACGAATTATTGTAAGATATGAATATTTATTTATAATACCAATTAATTCGAATATCTAATAAACAAAAAGAAAAATTAGAGATTATGAATAAAACAAAAATATATATATATATATAATTGAAAAATTTTACTTGTAAGACAATAGAAAAATAGATGTTTAAAACCATAATAGCGTCAAAATGATTCCATAGATCATGTAAATAAGATGAATTACCAATTAATATTCCTCGAATTTTCATTTTTGCAACCGCTTCAATTGTTAATATAATTGCACAAATTATATCAATGATAAATGTTGTATATTGAAGAAATGGATGATATTCAAATGTTTTTGGTGTATTCATACATGTTGAAATAAAACTTAAAAGACCAGTAAGACGAAATATATATTTAGCTAATGGTTTATCTGTCCATTCAAGATTACCATCCGTTGAATCTTCTTGGTTATAATCCATTAATGGAACAAAATTGTTACAGAAACTTTGCTTTCTCATCAATGTTATTATAGATGATATGACAGCAGCAACCGATGAAGTTACTGCTGTTGCCATTATATTTTCTTATATTATTTGTCTACAAGGAAAAGACAAAAAGAAGAACCTCGACCAGTTGATGATTAGTAAGACATACAAAGCAAAGAGAAAGACAGCAAAACGAATTGTATACAATCTTATATGGGCAGAAGGAAGATATATTTTGGCTCATGGCTTACTATTATTTGCTATTCAGAATAATATTCAGAAAGAGTTACAAGGATATGGAATAAACGAGAATCTCTCTTGAGTCAACTGACACATGCTGTCGTTATCGTCTTTAACAACTATATCAGATGATGATGACATCGTTTTTGTTTCTCGTCGTCGTCTTCTTCTTCTTTTTCTTTTATTTTTATTTGCTTCTTTGAAAACAAGAAAATGCAATGTGCGCTAGATAATGTTAGTCTTATTCGTCAATTGACTTCTCTCTTCTTTCCACAATCTTCGTTTCTACTTTTTATTCCCTCTTCGACGACTCTTGTGGGACATTATATCACGTAGAATAATGTCGATTAGTACGCAAGGGAAAATTTTAAATTGAATCTCTATGCTATTGACAATAGGAAGTAACTTGTTTCGATATATTGTAAGTTATATGTTATTACTAATAGCACGTAAAAAAGAGATTAACATGATAAGCTGATCGATACCAGGAGGTCAACCACAACAACAATTGTACTAAACATACATTTGACGTGTCTATCGTCTTTGTATATCGTATCTCATTACCTTTTTCTGATACATATATATATATATGTAAAAATATGTGAATCGATTGGGATAGAATTACAAATTGCCTTCATAGTCGTACTTCAATACATAGTATTATATGTTTTCAGGCTTTTTTAAAATTTCTTTAGTTGTTCTAGTCCTAACATGATTGATCAATTGAAAATTTCATACAACAAACAAAAGAATAGAATTATGAAAGAAAATCACAGTAATAGCAAGCAGTAGAGTTTTGTCACTTCATACATATAATTAATAAACATAGATAGATATATGTATACATTGACAAAGAACAATAATAATGTGAGTTATTAACGAAAGCAAAAGAGAAAAGCAACGAGAAAATAAGGAAGAGTGTTACTTTTCTTTCGGGTAGCTAGTTATTTTTCTTTACTTTCTGTTGACCGGAACGTGCTACATTGTTTGAAAGAAGAAACATGCAAGTTACTGATGAACAATTTTCATAAACATACTCATAACATCCAGAAACAACTATCTATCTTTCTATCTTCATTTCTATGCGTCTGTAATGTTAGTTGAAGAGGTATTACAAGCAAAAGAAATACAGAGTAAATGATAGGTATCACTGTGAAGTTTTTATTTATGCGAAACAACTTTAAAAATATGGCTCAAAGTTATTACTTACGACTGAAATACAAAAACTAGTCTTTTTTCATTTTCAAAAAAAGTACTTCTGAATGTTTATCTGTTGAATATGTCACTGCACAAGAAATCTAATGGTGTCAAGTCCGATAATTATGAAGCCTATAAACAATATCTGTAACTTTTCGAACTGATGACATCGAAATAAATGCATATAAATGATAGCACAAAACCTGACCATATAAACGCCCCAAAAAAACACAAGAAACGGAAGCATTAAAAGAGAAACATTGTGAAGTGGTTTTTTTTATCAAACGAAAAAAGACCGGTTTTAGTATTTCAACTGAAAATGATAACTTTGAACTGCATATGTAAAGTTAGTTCGTAAAGATAACTACTTCACAGTGATGTCTATCATTTGAAAAAAAATAATTAGATTAAGTTTGATAAATAGTAAAGTTATACAAATTTACTTTTTCGGAGAACTTTTGAAACATCCTGTAGATTGTAAACGTGCAGGCATGTAAAAGAAAATGCAATAAGATCAACCAGATTCTCTCTATTCTACGAGTGATGGTGGCAATTACACGACAATAGTATTGAAAGAACAAGAAAAAAATGAGCACAACATAGATTGTATCTGAATAATAGTCGTAGAACTGTGTCAAGAGGAAAATCTATTGATCTCTCGTGACAAAGTTACTATACAAATCTAAAAGATGTATAGACGGGAAAATTACAGAAATATATAGTAGCAGTTTGATGAGACAGAACACTATCTGTATATACAAATATGGGTGTGGGTGTAGGCGTTGCTGCAAAGAGTATAGATACTCACACATTCACACCCGATACCAGTCAGACCAGACCAGTCGGTATACCGGCACGAGTTATTCCTCTTTTTTCTGACTCTACAATAGTCAAATCAACTCCTTTATTACTCATTTACGACTACAGTGCTTTTCATTTTTTATTTTCATGTGTTTCGTTTTCGTGGCATCTATTGATGAATAGAAATCTTCATCAGACTACAAATTCTATATTAATTTTGTTCTTTGATTAACTTGAGTTCAGACATCGACAGTATTTATTAACTGTATACTTAATCTACCTTGCACGCTATATTCCAGAAATCCAAACAGGCCATTGGGCCTGTCTGCCTGTGATGTTTTTTCTAAATTTTCAATAAAAAACTTCATTTATTTGAGCAGAAAATGTAGATATCAAAATATAATATGGAGAATCTTTGCCCTGAACGCCGAGAAATGTTTTTCTTTTATCAGTTAGCTCAGCACTATCATGACTATTAATAGATTATAACTACATTGCTCATTGTTCATTCAATTATGTAGGTTTTCTATCTGTTTCTGTAAGTTACTGTTCGCACTTTTTAATTGGTTATTGTTAAAATTTTACATACAGCGTCTATGAAGTCTTTTGTTCCTGATTCATATTTATACTTTCATAATATGATATAACCTTTGTCATTAATAAAAAGCTTTTAATTTGCGAAAAAAACTACTTTATATGTCAATATTTTGAAAAAAAAACATGCGAAAACCAAACAAAAATTCAGACCGAAACGGACCGGCCGTTTATCTTTACCAGTTACAACTTTGTCCCACATGTTCATGTACGTTTCGTTTCATCGTCTCTTTCAGTCTAGTAACGAGTGAATCTATCTCAAGGAGAAAATGGCATACCCTTGTACTTGAAGTTACTTTAAGCTGTTTGAAGGGTACTTTAAACTACTTCGAGCTATTTGAAAGCTTGTATGATATAGATCCCAAGTGTTAGTGTTCAATATTATCATTTTGGTTTCTTTTGTTTTTACCAACTAACAACGTAACATTGAAAGACTCGATGATGCAAAAGAAAAGAGGCGATACGAAGCATAGTTCTAGAAAGTATTTCAAAACAATTTGTTCAGGAGAAGTTAGATAAAAAGCAAAAACATAGTAGATAAGACACGCGTGTTAAAAGAGTTAAGGAGGCCCCTCAAAAATCCAACTTCGACAGGGCACACGATATATTGGTGACGCTTTGCATAGATGTTTGGCTCATGGAAGTACATTAATAAAAGAAGCTTCACGCTCCAATCCATTATCGTCCAGGAAGTATATAGGAACCAGGCTGTAAAACGGGAGTTTTACGCGTACCAATTTTTCACTAATATACTTCATCATGCAGAGGGTGTAGGTGCTGATAATTCCTTTGTCTTAATATCCACACCCACACCCTTTTTTCAAAGGAGGAAACCGATTTTGAAGATCATCGAAATTAATTTTAAATTTCTTTACTTAAAGTAAGTGAATTATCAGAGTTTTCAAAAAAATCTAAAACATTTGCATTATTATTTAGCATCTATAGATAAGCATCAATGCTGCACTTGTTTAAAGGTGAAATAAAGTTTCCAAAACCTTTTTTAACTTTAGATATCATTGAAGTATCATTTCTTCAAGTTTGTATTTATTTAACTGACGCAAGCTGAATAATCTTGAGCTAATAATTCTTTGGTTGAAATTGATTTAATATAAATAGAAAGGCGCAATGTTGGAGAAAAATGTACTACACTGTGGGTGTGGGTGTAGGTATAGCTCTTATCCTCGGCGACATCCACTCACATTCACACCCACACCCCCACCCACACCCCAAAACGAAAATTATCAAATTATCTAAAGATTGGTAAATATTTGACTAAAATATGTTTTGAGGGTACGTTTCATTCATTATTACTGTTTCCCTGGAAAATTTCTGTTTTGTTGACATAGTGGCACTTCCGTTACAAAAACCTTTGATCGAATCACTCTCTATGTATTATTTTTTCTTCTTGATATTATATAGCAAACGTAGTAATATGTGCATAAATACTACGAAAAATACATCACGAAGTACACAGTAGGCATGTCTTTGTATATGTGCAACAGGAATTATTCATACACAAATGAAAAGAGAAAAAGAGTGCGGGTGTCGGTGTGGATGTTGTTCTTCATTATATTCACCCACACCCCACACCCACACCCACACCCACACACCCACACACCCACACCTACACACCCACACCTACACCCACACCCACCCACACCCACACACCCTAAAGAGCGATCATTTATACTCCTCATATTTCTAAGCGTTACTGTCTGGCAATCGGAAACTGCGATTGGTATCCAAACACGATGCAAATTTTAGTTGTGTTTAAACGCGTTTTTGAGTATCCTTGTCTACTTGGGATACTTACGAACCAGAGTCCGTGATTCTGAGATGATTTTGTGTGATTTTGGATGGTTTTAAGTGATGTTCGTCAATTTTTGGTGATTTTTTAATAATTTTCAGTGACTTTGAATGATTTTGTTGATAGTTTTTCGTAATTTTGAGCGATTCGAGCGATTTTTGACTGATTAAAATTAGCTGCTTCCTCCTTGGAATTACCGTTTCCTAACTTAAAATTTTACATGTAATTGATTTTCTCTCATTCAATGGAAGCAAGGATCTCAATTAAAATTCAGTTTATTACGATAGAGATCTTATTGGTGTATATATTTATATTGTTTTTAGTATTGTGTAGTATGCTTTATGCTGTAGCACAAAATCTTCCTTCAGCATCATCGTGATCAAAACAAGGAAAATTCATTTTGAATTGAGACGTTAAAGCTCTAAGAGCTGATTTTGCAGCAGCATCTATCCAAGCAGCTCGATTTAAATAATAAGCTTCTCCAACCATAGTTAATGCGTCACGGTTAAATCTTGATAGAGGATGCAAAGCCCAAGTAGCGATATCTTGATTGGTAAAAGTACTATGAGGTTGTTGAAAATGCCAACCACCTAGCCAGACTTTATAGAAGGTTTTTGTTGGTCTAGGAATATTGACATCCAGAAAAATAGCTTGAAGTCCTCGTCTTATTTCTTCAATGAGATCCTCACATGATGTTCTACGAATATATTCCTCCCATACACTAACGCATGAACCATCAGCAAGAACTGATCGAGTCAAATTCCGATCGCGATCTGCAGGACGTTGAACAGAAAGAACAACGGAATTAATACAATTTTGACGTGTCCAAGCTCGATCAACTGAACCTAATGGTAAAACTAATTTAGTTACTTCCCACCATCTACTAGGCCAATAGTTTTGAATTGTAACTATTTTAACTGGCAAAATGGCTTGAAAATGCAAGGTTGATTTAATCTCTTGTGCTACAGAACCTCTGATGTTTTTCAAATTAACTGGATCAATTGCACATACAATTTGTTTAGCACGAATTTTATATCGTGTTGTTTCTACAGAAAATAGAAAACCATGATTATCATTTACAATGTAATCTCCAATACTCGATACTTCTTCATTTGGATATAATCGAACATTGAATTGTGTTGTGGCATTTAAAATCATTCTTATTGGAAACTGAGACATTCCACCATGTGGAAAAAGACTTTCTCCGTGGAGATTCCATTCTTGATTAAAAAACTCCATATAAGCTTTAGGATGAGTGTTCTCAAAATCGCCTTGAAAAAGAAAAGTATCACGTAAATACTCAGTCGCTTCATCGCCGATAATAGAACGAGCAAAAGCAGCTAAATCGGCAAAATGAGATAAGCTGTCAGGAAATGTACGATATTGATTTAGCATAGCTAACCATAATTGATCAGCAGAGTTTACACCATTTGCGTCATCTGTACAGTTTAAGTTTTTATAAGAAGAATTGCACATGTGATTGTATTGACTATAAACATTTCCACGAGATTTAATTAAACTTGATCGAAAAGCATAGCGGCTTGAAGTTATATTTAATTCATTTGCTAATTGGACCAAAACAGGTTGGGATTTATAAAATCGTATTGCACTCAGTGGAACAATACTAGTTTCAAATGCCTGAACGGTTTCACCTTTAAAATTTACATCATGTAATTTTCCTCCAACATAATTCTCTCGTTCAATTATACATAAATCATTTTTATATTTAGGTGCTAAACGATAAGCTACATTAGATCCACCAAAACCAGCCCCTAATATTAATATAGGACAATCTAAAGGAAATAAGTCATTGTTTGGTAAGTCTTGATTTTGTTGTTGCTGTTGTACTTTAACATAAATCATAGAAAATAATACAAGATTTATAATAAGAATAAGAATTCCAGCTACGAATCCAAGTATATAAAGAGACTTTTCACTGGGCATCGTAATCGTTGCTATCCTTGTATAACAAATGTCAATGATGAAAAAATTGATACGATAGTTATAGAGTATATTAAAACTTTGTAAAGCTGCAATCTGCAATAAAAGCAATTACTAAAAAGTATTGTAATAGTAAAGACATACTGGAAGATATAGTTTAAAGAAGTCTATTTTGATGAATTTTTTAATTGTACGCTATGGTCGGAGTAGTGTCTTGTGAACGCAAAATAGAAGGTGAAACGCATTGTTGGTTTTCTCCCACGTGTAAACAAACAAGGAATGAGAAAAAATGGTACATCATCGTTTTAGACCATTAAAATAAAGTAACGAAGAAATTTTTCAATGTTTTATTACAAAATAATACATTATGTTAGCTTTCCTTGTTTCCTTCTTTATTTTTACTGGAGTGATGTCATAATCCTGTTACAACCCGTATCCACATCTATCCAAAGCGATTACGACATTACATAGCTAGCGTAGTCACTCCATTATCATTACAAACATCTACTGACCATCTTTCACACTGGAAGACTATCAGTCGGCTCACTGTAACCAACTCGTTACAGCAAAAAAACATATACTTTTAGCGGTTATAACATGCGACTGGATTTACGGTATTCCCAAACTGTAATAACACACGAATGCGGATGCATGTAACAATGCACATGAAAGTCGAGGGATATGAGTGAATTTACTGTAACGACCACGTTACATAAAGTGAACTACGTATTTAGAAGTTGAGAGATTTGAGTGGATTTACTGTAACGACCACGTTACA